TATTTAAATACATTTTTCTGTTTTTAAATTGTAGTAGACAGTTCTTAGCATTAACTTTTCTAGCTTGTCTTTTTAATGCAAGGAGGAACTTACTGTCTTTGTATTCCCAGAGTCCTGAATTAAGCTTGTCGGAGAACTTTTTGATAGAAAGCCTGTATGCAGTCTAAAATTCTGTTACGTAAGCTTCTGCCTGAAGGCTTTTAGATGTCTTTATCTTTTTGATTGTTGTCATGGTTTAACCTCAGCTGGCAACTAAGTGCCATGCTGCCACTGCTTCCCTCCTGCCCCAGTGGGATGGGGAGAAGAACTGGAAAAAGGTAAAGGCTGTAGTCTGAAGTAAGAACAGTTTAATAATAAGTATAATTAATAATATCTAATAACATGTGGTATTATAATAGCAAAGAATCATAGAACGGTAGGGTTGGAAAGGACCTTAAGATCATCTAGTTCCAGCCATGGGCAGGGATGCCTCACCTTAGACCATGTTGCTCAAGGCCCTGACCAGCCTGGCCTTGAACACTGCCAGGGATGGAGCATTTACTACTTTGGGTAACCTGTTCCAGTGCCTCACCACCATCACAGTAAAGAACTTCTTCCTTATATCCAACCTGAATTCCCCTGTTTAAGTTTGAGCCCATTACTCATGGTCTGTTTTCCTATATGTATAATAATATATGAATCATAGAATAGTTAGGGTTGTAAAGGACCTTAGGATCATCTAGTTCCACCCCCCCTGCCATGAGCAGGGACATCACACACTAAACTATGTTGCCCAAGGCTCTGTCCAGCCTGGCCTTGAACACCACCAGGGTTGGAGCATTCACATCTTCCTTGGGCAACCCAATTGCTTACCACCTGCTGACTGATGCCCATCCCATCCCTGAGCAGTGATTGGTGGTTCCTGGCCAGCTTCCCCCCAGTTTATATACTGGGCATGACGTGCTGTGGTATGGAATAGCCCTTTGGCCAGTTTGGGTCAGGTGTCCTTCCTGTCTCTGCTTCCTCCTGGCTTCTTGTGACCCTCCTCACTGACAGAGCGTGAGACTGAGAAAGTCCTTGATCAGGGTAAACATTACTTGGCAACAACTAAAACATTAGTGTTAATCAGCGTTGGTCTCAGACTAAAGCCAATACACAGCATTGCACCAGCTACTAAGAAAAACATTAACTATCCCAGCTGAAACAAGGACAATTGTTTAACAACATCTTTTATCATTGCAGTCAGAATTTCATGAAAAAGATACTTTTTATATCTTCAACCATGTTGACATAAAAATATATTACCATGTTGTGGAAAATGAAGCTCTGGGAGCAAGACTAGTTGCTGCTAAACTTGAACCAAAAAGGTTAGTACTCAAAAGTAACTTGTCATCAAACAGTGGCCCATCCCAAGATACTTGCTTTGATCTGGGGACCTGTTGCTAGTCAGAAATGGTTTCAGATACATGACCTGTAGATTAGCTTTCCCATTAATTGATGTAGTGCAGTGTAGGACAGTGTAACATAATTTTGTTCTGAATTCATTAGATCTTTGTGCGCTATTTCCTATTCAGGCCAAAAAAAAGGTAAGATAAAACGGGGAAGTGGTGTGTGTTCAGTGAAGCAACCCTCATTTCCCCTCTGGAGAACATTTTGTCACCAGCGCCTGATGCGAGAGTAATCACAGTGCAAGATCTGATGTCATCAGCAATCAGAATTTGAATGGAATGAGTTCACAGATAAACTTGTCAATTGTTCTGGTATCCATGTGGCTTTTGCACAGCTGATGTCTCTCATTTCTTAGCATCATATCTTTCTTCTTTTGTGCTCTTGGTATAACTAAGCTTGTTGAATTGTTAGTCCAGCATCATGATGAAAGTATTTAGTTAGTAATTCTGTTGTAACTTTTTGAATATGTTGGAGGTTTTTAGCAGTACTTGGACTTTTAAGCTTCGGTGCTCTGCTTTGGAGACTGTCCTCTCTATAATTTCCTTTTTCAAAGACACAACTGTTGTTCAAGTTCAGGTATCAAAAAGTCCTGTGCTTTTTATATGTTCCTTATGAGTTCTGAAATTTGAGTCATTAAGAACAATTTTTATATGTATGGGAATAATCTTGGATGAAATGGATGCTTTTGTAAGATAAATTAATTATTTTTTAAGGGTTTTGTCATGATCAGCTTTCATTCTGTGTTTTTTTTTCTTCCCACAGTTACAAGCATACTCATCCAGACAACCCTGATTGCTCAGGAGTACCTATGGATATAAGTAATAAGGCTAACGGAGAAGTCAAAATTGCTTACACATATTCAGTTTCTTTTCAAGTGAGTACTAAGCTTTCTGTGGTACTTACCTCTTAAAATCATGCATTAATACTCTGAATTACAAAGATGACATTTAAAATTATTTCAGAGTAGTAAATTTGTGAGTTTAAAACTTTATTTGAACTGGTATGTCAGAGGTGGCTTGGGATTTACCCCATGCGTTACAATTGTGCACCGCACATGCTAAATGTGAAATGCATGTGTTTTTTAAGAGAACCACACTTTCCACGTTTACCTGGGTTGTCTGGTAGGGTGTTTTTCAATCCAAGTTCTTAAGTCTGAGGAGTCGTGCATCTCGGCAAATTGCTGCTGTAGATAGGTTGAAGCTGATCATTTCCTGTTCAGCTGCAAAAGCTTTCTTCTCTCCGGGGTCTTCCTCCCATGGAAATCCTCTGTCTTCCTTAAAAGCAGAGGAGCAGTATAGCGGCCAACTGCATGCAACAGTGATACTTGAAAATGTTTTATTCTGATCACAAGCAGAAGAGTTTTCCTGGGGTGGGGTTTTTTTTGTTTAATGGAGTTTGCTGGACAAACTGTTCCCAAAGTTTTTAACCTGCTGTGGTTTACATTTTCAAAAACTGGCTTTACTGGAAAGCACTCTTGCTCTTGTTACAAATTACTGAAAGACACCTCACCATTTTTAATTGATACTGATGTTTATGGTTAGTTTAATAGCAGTCTCCAGGTTGACCAGCACTGTTTCTGATCAATGAAGTTGTGATCAGTGTAAGTTCTGCAATATTGTCTCCCCATCTGTCTTGCAGTATAAGCTGAACAGTACTGTATTTGGTACTGAGAGGAGGTTGTATGAAAGCAAAGGATAATTTGGACAGGGCACTGTCTAGAAAGTTGAATATTATGCTGGAGACCATATAGCAGAGCTTGGTTTCTTAGTGTCTGTAGTGTTGAGTTACATGTTCTCTTTTATTATTCTGCAAGTCATTTGAATTCCCGATGAATTGATGTAATTCCTGAAGGGAGGAAGCACAATTAATTTAATTGGATAGGCCATTATGTCTTAAGACATGGGTGGTCAATACTATTCAGAAAATATTTTGGTTTTGAGTCTATGGTCAAATCTTAGGTTTGTTTTAGGTAGCTATATGTATTCCACTACTCCTTTAAGGCATGCAACATGAAATTTCAGTTTGCTGTGAGATTTCGGATTGCTTTGCATGTATGTCAACTTGTTAATTTACAAGCTGGATACTGACTGTATCTGAAACTTATGTGTTTATTCTTTCAGGAAGAAAAAAGTATAAGGTGGGCATCAAGATGGGATTATATTTTGGAATCCATGCCTCACACTCACATTCAATGGTTTAGGTGAGAAGAAAGCTTTTCTTCAAGTGTACTGTACTGAAATGTTTACATTGCAGCTTGAATGACCATTTGTTTGTTTTTGTTTTTTAATTTAGTATTATGAATTCTTTGGTGATTGTCCTCTTTCTGTCTGGAATGGTAGCCATGATTATGTTGAGGACACTGCATAAAGACATTGCAAGATACAATCAGATGGATTCCACTGTAAGTCTAAAATGTACAAAAATTTATTTGGAATCTATTTTTTAAGCTAAATATATTTCTGTAGCAGGCTATTTAAATGGCAATTGGCTGTATTAAAATGGGTTTATTTCCTTCACAGGAAGATGCTCAAGAGGAATTTGGCTGGAAACTGGTTCATGGTGATATTTTCAGGCCCCCAAGAAAAGGAATGCTGTTGTCTGTGTTTCTAGGCTCTGGCACACAGATCTTAATAATGACTTTTGTTACCCTGTGTAAGTAATGAAGTGGGGAGGAATTAGTTGAGAACATGATATTTCACTGCTAATTGCATAGTACTAGTAAAAATGGCGGTATATTTTTTTGTCTAGAAATTTCATAAAAGGCTTAAGGCTAGAAACAGCTGGGCCGATATAGCAGACATGCAGCTTAGCATACATAGAGTTTAAGATAGCTGATGTACTGGCTTTCAGTCAAATGTATAGTTACGTTCTACAGTTGTGTCTCTCTGCTTCACAGTTTTTGCTTGCCTGGGATTTCTGTCACCTGCTAACCGGGGAGCTCTAATGACCTGTGCTGTAGTCTTGTGGGTACTGCTTGGAACGCCAGCCGGTTATGTTGCTGCCAGATTCTACAAATGTGAGTAAAAGTTATTTAAACCGACAAGGCTTAAGTTCATTAAGGTAAATTATCATCACAGAACTGATTTGTATTTTGCAGTACTGTTTGTAGTTTCCCTCAGGGCAAGCTGGTGAAATGTGCTTAACAACAGAAAACACATATAAAACACTGACATGGTTATGTTGATTTGGATGTGATCATGCCTGCAGACTCTGAATTGCTCTTGCTACTACATATTTATGGAATTGGGAAGCAAATTCCATTTTACCACTACTAAGCTCACTACATCAGACAGTTTTGTACTTCTGTTTACTACAGCTGGAGGCAGGGGCGGTGTTAACTTGAATTTAGTTTTAGCCATTGATGTTGCTTGGTAGCATTTTTAATTCCCCCCTCTTCCCCAGTCATGAACTTCTGTTCTTGTGTGCCTTGTCACCTCTTTTCAGCTAGTCCCTCAGTCTTTGGGAGAATGGTGCTTATCAGCGTGTGGCAGAGGAGCAAGGACAAGGATTATTAGACATGGTCTAGTGTGAGGCGTCCCTGCCCATGGCAGGGGAGTTGGAACTAGATGATCTTAAGGTCCTTTCCAACCCAAACCGTTCCAAGATTCTATGTTCTGTAGCTGTAGAAATCAACCCAGTGATGTTTATGCACCTTTTGGTAGCTAGTTGGTACTGTTTTCCTTCACTGATACCAGCTAGGACTTGCTTACCAAGCTCAAGTAGTTTGCCCCTGTACCCTCTAGTTTGTTTTAAGGTGAAGCATGCCATTCCACATACAGCTTGTTTTAATTACCTTGCTCAAAGTAGAAGGCTCTTTATGACTGAGCAAGCTGGATCTTTTGGACTATTTTGTTTTTGAACATGCAGGGCTAGAGAAGGAGTTTATTTCTCAACTTCAGCCTGGCCGTAGGTATTGGAGGTCTTCTAACCTTTGTGGGGAGAACCACTGGGGAAAGAGGGTTTGTATTTTGCAAGGAGTTCTTCTGCAGTTGTAGTGATATGATAGTGAACTATTTGTTTTCCTAATCTTCAAGCCAATTAGTCTTAAATGGGAGGAGACTTTAGGACTAAGAGCATAATTGAGGACAGATCTATTTTTTGTATAATTCTGTATGGTATGTGTTTTGAAGGCTATTTTGAAGTGTATTGATGGTAAATTTAATCTGTATCTTTGCTGGAGACATAGCTAATAATAATTATATTTCATATTATACCTAATTAGAATCATTTAGTTGATACTTAAATATTGTGTTTAAATATTAAGATAGTGAGTGACAGATAGGAGATATTCTTATTGTAATGTGAGGTGTCCACACACTGTACAGAGCATGTAAATGTAAATGTTTCTCTTTATAGGGTACAGAGAGTGTGAGACATAAACCAAAATGCAGCTGGAATGGATACCTAGATTTAAAAGTGGAGGTTTTTTTCAACATTGCATTTAAAAAGTGAAATCTGAGTTGAAATGAAATGGTTAATTTTAATAACTGGTGCCGTGTTCTACCAAGATTTTATGAAGAAATAGAAACTTAATTAAAATCACTCTAACCATAATCGCTTCTGACTCTTGAAGTAAAGAAGCATGTCATTATGGCAATGCTCAGATGAAATTGTCAGCTTCACTGAATTCCAGCAGGATATTTCCATTTGAAAGTATGTGCCTAGAATTTTTATCAGCTTAGTGCAAATTCATAAACTTTTCTTAATAAAGTGATGTTTGGTCTTTTGGTATCACCACTGCTTAATGCTGTTAAGACTCAAGAGAACATCACTGCTTCCTGTAGGTGTGTTAGTCCTGACTTTCTTGTAAGATTTATAGACAAGAATTATTTCAAGGAAACTATTAAGCTTGCTTTTCACATACTTATGTATTCCTAGTGAAACCTGCAGTCAAATGCTAGAAAGCTTAAACTTCTTAATGACTCCAGGTTTAAACTGTTGGTTTGGTTTTTTTTTTTTTAAGACTTAAAAGTACTGCAAATCTGCTTCCACCTTCTAGCAGATAAAATGGTCAGAGACCCAGTTTATTGAGTTGGATGCTTTTCCTAGCCTGGGTCCAATGATTTTTTCTTTGCTTTGAAGGTCTATGATTAAGCAATATGAGGAGGGAATTCAGTTTTATTACTGTAGATTTATTTTACTCTTTTTAAATTTGGGCATGATATTTGAGCATTTGCAAGATAAGTATAACAGGTAAATGGACTGGAAAATTAGTAGTTGTGGGGAGCTTAAAGCATGTTTTGATGACTGTCAAATGTTTTAATACAGCATTTGGAGGCGAGAAATGGAAAACAAATGTCCTGCTGACATCATTCCTTTGTCCTGGGTAAGCTGAGAATATCGTCATGATTAAAAAAATTAAATTGCTTCTCTGACATGCAGACCAGTTTTTGAAGTTTCAGTTATATGAGTAAATCCTGTTTCATCACCCCTTTATTGCAGAAGCTGCAAGAATATCACATTGCTTTTGAATATATTAGTGGCATCTCCTCCTTAGATACTGGTTTTTTTAGTAAGGTTTTCTGTTTACTCTCATCACTTGAAAAGGTTGATTAAGAAAGAGCATTATGATAGTAGTAAGTTTTGGACAGGTGCACTTTTTCACTGCTTTGTTTTACTCTCTAGGCTGTTTGCCTGACCACACTGTAGTTGATCTTACATAGTGTCATATATTGTAGAAGCACTGTGATAAATCTTTCTACTTACTCACCAGCAAGCAGTCTTACCCTGAAGTGTAGTTAAGACAAGCATATATGTGAAATTGCTTAGTTGGAACATCAGCTCCTGCTGGAGTACAGCCCCACTAGATTAACAAAGAATTGCTTGTCTAACCACTTCATTTTGATACTCTGTTTTGTCTCATCTGGTTGTAACAGAGATTTACCCCAAAATTTTAACACAGTGCTATTATTTTGTTAATTATTAAGTATTAAGGAGTATTTCTGTGCTTTAAGTGTGTTCTGTGTTTTTCAGAATCGTATTTGCAGATTTTTTTATCATGAACCTTATTCTGTGGGGAGAAGGCTCTTCAGCAGCTATTCCGTTTGGTACTTTGGTTGCCATTTTGGCACTGTGGTTTTGCATATCTGTACCGCTGACATTCATTGGTGCCTATTTTGGTTTTAAGAAAAACGTAAGTGGTGTTGAGGAATTGTTTTGTAAGTGTATGTCTATATATATGTGTAAAAACACATGTATATTTTTTCAGTGTATAGACTATGACTGAGGTAGCACCTAAGCTACTTGCATTGTCAGCTCCAGTTCTGTTCAGTTGATTTAGAGCTACATTTGATCTTGGGATTCCAATACTTCGATACTCGGTTGGTGGTGGTGATACTTCTCCACAATGATTAGGGTTATCATTGAGTGACTGCTCCAGATAAAGCAGTGATTTGGGCATTTTTATTTTAATTAGCATCTTTTTCATTGCTAAAAAGGTCAGTTGACTCAGCCAAGCATAACAGAAAGCAACTTAAGCATTTCTGGTTTTCCCCCCACGGATTTTGTTCCGGTCCACCTTCTACACTGAGAATATTTTCTGATCAAATTGCTAGAGCTCTTGTAAAATCTCTTTGCACGAGTGTTTTGCAAATGGTTATCACTGCTTGGCAGACATTAATTGGGATTTACTCCCAAACTGATAATTTTTACTTATTTATATGAGGGCTCTTTGTGACACTGGTGACCAGACCATCTTAAATAATGAAATTGGTCCTTCTTTTTTTGCTTCAAAAGTGGCTTACTCTGCCCCACAAACATAAGTTCAAATATTTTTGTGGGTTTTTTCCTGTATGGTAAGCCAGAGTTCTAGCTCATGTAGCTCTCCTGGAATAACTTCAGAGAATATTTAAGTATCTTAAAAGTTTGTAGTTATCCCATTGTTTTAACAAGAATTCAGTGTTTTTTCTGATAACCATATTGAAATTTCAGCAAGCCCTCCCTGTGCCATACAGAGACAGTTTCTTTAAGAAAGGAGAATTTGATAACCTGTAAGGCAACTTGATAGATGTCACAAATTCATTAAAATCAAATCAGAAAGCAAGTATCTAGCAAGTGTCTGTTGATGCTCTTAATGTAATCTTTATGAAAGAGAAAAGATGGCAAAGTATGCATTTACCTGCCTTAATTTTTTTGTCGCACATGCTGATTTATGCACGCATCTTAAATTAGGATTTAATTGCCACACTGAATCTTCTCAGTTTGTAAGTTTATCCTAACATGATTCTTGGAGTATATCCTGAAAAACAAAATAGAGGGATGTTTAGAAGGGGAAAGCAACAGTCTGCATCACCAGTACCCCCCAGCTGACAAGCGAGAAATCAGGCTCTGTAACAGATCATGGGCAGGTAATCACAAAAAGGGAAGTCCAAAGTGTCTGTTGCTATGTTTTCAGAAGGAGCTGCCTTCTAGCTGGTTTGCTTAGCAGATGTTTGGAGCCAGGCTGGTAGTGAAAGCAAGTGTAGTGGTAGCTGAGTATGTGCACGCTCAAAACAAACGGTAGACTTTTGTCATGCTCATTTCAAAGAGAAAGCAAAATGTTAGTGCTGCTGTTTGACATTTCATTTATTTAGCAATTGCTTATTTTTGTTTAAAGGCTATTGAACACCCTGTTCGCACAAACCAAATTCCTCGCCAGATTCCGGAGCAATCCTTCTATACAAAGCCGTTACCTGGCATTATCATGGGAGGGATTCTACCTTTTGGATGTATCTTTATACAGTTGTTCTTTATTCTCAACAGTATTTGGTAAGTTAATCACGATCTATTTGAGTTTTATCTGTCATAAAAAGAGGTAATTCCTTTGTGTAAGTTTGTCTTCAGGATGCTTTGATTTTTGGTGATGCAGGGTTACCGGAATACTGGTTCAATAAAAATGTAAATGTTAACATCTTTTTAATATTTCATGGTTTAGAAGATACACGGTGCCTGTTTGGCTTCTTGAGGTGTGTAGAGAAGTGGCTGTGCTGTGCTTAGCACTTTATAGCTGAGCTACAGTATTCAAATAGCATGTTTTCTCATGCTACTCCTCTGACTTAGTGTAGAAGTGGCTCTGAAGCTGACATATGGCATATAACTTGGAAGTGGTAACTATATTAAAATTGACTTGAGGGGGTTTTTGTAGTTGCTGGGCTAGAAAAGTATCGCTCCTCTTGGGAGAGAAAGGAATCAAGAACAGATTTTGTGAAATCTTTATAAAGGCACCAGAGAGTAATTATTTTCAAAAATAAAGCACCAAATAGTAGTCCAGCATAAGTGAACTCTGATGTGAGCTCATAGCACACTGACAAACTAATCTACTGTGAGGGATTTGTCTTCCTTCTGGCACAGTTTAGTCATTGCATCTTGTTAAACTGTTTCTGAACCTTGAATAGGTGCCTCTACCGAGTGCAGACAGCTACAGCATTTGACATGTCTTGTTATTTTGCAGCTCTGCCCCTTTGATTGAAATGTGAGGTGAAATCCAAGTTCTGCTGAAGTCAGTGGAAGAGGTCACGCTGACTTCACTGGAACTGTAATTTCTCTCATTATGTCTAGTCAGTTCTCTCCCTGAACCCACAGGGGCATGCTTTGGGCTTGCTTTCTCACTGTTTCCAGACTGAGCTGCTGAGGCTCCCGTTCTTCAGTTAGGAAATAAATCACTCATTCATATGGCCACACAACTGACAGTGCTTCAGTAGGAAGGGGATACTTAAGGTGAAGGTGATATGAAGAAATAATATTAGCACAGTGTCCAGTTTAGTTATTTTTTCTTTAACTCCCTGTTATAGGTCTCACCAGATGTATTACATGTTTGGCTTTCTGTTTCTGGTATTCATTATTTTGGTTATTACATGTTCTGAGGCTACAATATTGCTCTGCTACTTCCATCTATGTGCAGAGGTAAGATATTCTTTAGTATTCATACTTGATATTGTTTTAAGAGTGCTTCCAAAAATTTTTAAGGCTTTTGTAATTGAAAATAATAAACATAACATAAACGTCGTTAACAGAAGAGATGTACTTAAACCATGTCCTTAGAAAGTGAAGCAGGCTACTTTTGCCCAACCCTGGGGCAGGGCAGGGGGAGAGGGGGGCAGGTAGTCTCTGTGGCTGACAATAATAGGTCTGGCTTACTTGGGTTTTTAGATTTTTGCCATTTGATCTTTAGGTTTCTTATCTCTAATTGTGAATGGTGTAGTTAAAGCAATATTGATTATATGTAGTTCTTTTTACTGTAGATAAAAACTATAAAAGCTCACTTTTGGATAGAAAAGGTAGCTCTGCATTCAGCAATAGGGTCAGTGTGTTAGCGATATGTGAAATATTACTTATGTGTATTTTTTTCTCCACCCGTTCTAGGACTATCACTGGCAGTGGCGTTCATTTCTCACCAGCGGCTTCACTGCGGTTTATTTCCTAATATATGCAATACATTATTTTTTTTCTAAGCTGCAAATCACAGGCACAGCTAGCACCATTTTGTATTTCGGTTATACCATGATTATGGTTTTGATCTTCTTCCTTTTCACAGGTAAGCATATTCAGCCTGAACTTTAAAGTTTGACTCTACCATTACCTTTGCACAGTAGGCAAAATCCGTGGCAAAACTTACCTAGATACAGGATTATAAATTTGTCTTTGATTTTTTCTATATGTCTTTGATTTTTGTGTAGCATTTTGCAATTCTGTGATCACAAATTTTAGTGAAGAGATTAAGTGAGGATGAGCAAAAGTCTGCTAATTTGAGGAGTGGCCTATAATTAGGTCTTCAAATACGACACCTTTAAACATGATAAATGCTTCTCCAGATTTCATTTCTAAGTTAGTCATGTAACAAACTTACCTTTATTAATTAATTGTCTTTGGAGAAAGACACTTCAAGTCACACAGAATCAAGTGTAAAGTTACTGTGTCAGTTAAGGAAAAAATGCAGCTTTGGTGGAATAGGAGGAAGGAAGAGAGGAGTAAAAGTTGACAGAGAATACCTCCCCCGCTGCCATTTGCTGTCTTCCAAAATTTCTTTTCCTTCTTTCACAATTGTTTTGAAGTGGCACAGGAAGCAGAATTTCTTAATATTTTTTTTTTTTAATGTAGTCTTATCAGAACCTCGTCATCTTTACTGTGCGCTTTCAGAAAAGCACCTGTCTTGGTGCTGCATTTTGATTACTTCTTCAATAAGCAAGATGAAGTTGTCATCTTCAGTGCTAAGAAGGAATCTTCAGGCAGACACACATCCCTTATTTAGGGTGGTAGAATGGCAGTGAAAATGCAGGAAGTCTCCTTTCAAACTCTTATGCAAGAAGGCAGCAACCACCAGCTCCTCAAAAACCTCAAGAAGTCTGAATTCTGTTCCAGCAGAATGTGATCTTTTGTGGACTTTTCCCTCCAGGGCAGTATTTTTGAAACTCTTTTGAACTGATTGTTGCTTTAAATACTTCCAAGCTCCACGTTTATGATGGAGTTTAATGATTCCTAAGGATTTGATACATGTGCATTTATGTGTGCAGATATACAGGCTGTATTTTGAGGCCTCTAGCACACAAGTGGCTTGTCATCAGAGCTTTTAATACTGATCTCACTGTAACTGTAAGTAGAATTTTCATTTCCACCTAACATAGGAGAACAAAAGAAATGTAACGGGGAAAAGAACCGACACTTGAGAATGGTCATTTTAAATGTAGCTGAATATTCATTTCAAAGACATTGCCGCTTCAGTTTAGGAAATACTGAAGCTGTTTGTGCACCACAACTGAATGCAGATGGTGATGGGCAGAAGCAAGAGCCTGCAAGGAGTTTCTTGGGTCATTGCCTGTTAAAAGGAGGAATGGGACTTAAGTACATTATATAATCTCTTTGCAAAGCGATCAAGCTGTGTTCCGTAAGCGGTTAGTTTTATCTTCCATCCGTTTGAAGTCAGTCTAGTATGTTTTGGCATTGCTTGCAGATAGTTTGCAGTTTACACATCCTCTCTACTTTTATTTGCATTTTGTGTACTGGTTACCAAGTCATTCTGAATGAGTAGATCAGAGATTCTGCCTCCCTGTCTCACTCCCTTTTATTTCTCACCCTGCATTTCTCTGAACCTTTATCTCTGTTCTGGGTTTACTGGTTATCGTATTGCACTAAAGAATTTAGGAATGCTTGGTGGTTCATCTAGAAACAGATGCGTACTGCATATGCAGATCCATTTTAAATGGGTGCAAACTCACAAAGTCGCATGCAAAAATAATCAGGCCTTACCTAAGTGTAAGGTCAATTCATTTAGTTTCTCCAGCTTTTCCAGCTGATACTCAGCATGTCTGCCTTTAATAGTAAGCACTTTTGGCCAGAACCAGAATTGTGTTTACCTTGTCTCCTTTGTTCAATCTCTTTTACTTTGGATGCGTGCAGTAATTCGGGAGTGCACACATTCGAGATAAAGGGGATTGATTTACAGTAAATTTTCTATGCTGAGGTTTGGCTTAGCTGCTTTTCTGCACCTAAGGTACCCATATAATTTCCATCTTTTGTCCGTATTCTTTCAAGTCAGTCAGTGTCACATGTCATTGTTTAGAGGCATTAGGACATGTCCAGTGCATCCCCCTTTTCCTTTGCTCACACGTTCACTTTCAATTGACCAATTATCATTGCAGCACCTACCAGCAAATTTGGGGAGCCCTTTTCAGGGTAGGTTCACAAGCATGCAGTGAAGAGGTGTCTTACTCTCAGACTGCTTCAGATGCTTTCTGTGGTAGTCATTTGTATGTAACTGGAACTGTGAAGATGCGAGTTACGCTGTGCAACTTGAACTGTGCTTTCAGAGTTTGTATGCTTGCAGGTTTTGAAATTTTCAGTTTCTGTATTGGAATTATTGTGTTGAAAATAGTGCAGAATACATGTGAAGTTAACCAGATGGTTAGAATGTTGAACCATCATATGCTTAACGATTTTTTTTTTTAATCTACTTTCCACAAGATGAAGTGCAAATTATCCTTTAGTTAGAGGGAATTGTCCTATTTCTAAAGACTTAAGAATAATTTTGTCCATGTAGGTCGATACGCATTCAAAGGTGGGTATGTTGAGCTCTCTGAGATTCACTGAAGTGATTTGAGAGAAGGTTTTACAGAAAAAGAGGCAGAGTAAAGGGACAGGCAGTTCTGTTCCAGTTTCTTAAATGAAAAAGCGTATTAGCAATTTAGCAAACACTGCTCCTAAAGGCAACTGACTTCTGTGTCAGGATGATAAAGAAGCTAAAAAGAAGAAAATCCTAATTGTTGTAGCAAAACTATTCTGCTGCTGCTTACTCATCTGTTAAAACCAGTCAGCATCAGGAAGGGTTTTGACGGTGCCCTGCTGCTATGTCAGTGTAACACACGCTTCAGGCGCTTGCATCCGCACTGCATTCCAGGTCATTGATCAGACTCAGCAGGCAAAATACTGGGAGCTACATGACAAATCTTTGATTCGCAGCTGGGACCACAGCTACGTATCATAGTAAATGAGTCAGTTAAACATCACTAGTTTAGCAAGCGTGAAGGGGGGAAAAATGTTACCATGATATCATTCATGGTTCCTCCCAAGCTTGCCTAGTGAATGAGTGAGCACTCAGTGTTTGTTGTACCTCTTAGCAGATCTAACATAAAGGCAGGGTTTTTTGCTTTCAAGAACTTGCTTGGCTCTTGCATAAGAGAAAGCTGTGTTTTGTGAAGAGGTAAAAATCAGATAATCTGCAGGGCTTTTTTCCTGCCCTGCTTTTTGCAGGAAATGAAAGTTCCTGTGCAAGGTGTTCTGTGTCAGTTTTCCTGGCATGTAACTGTTGGTTTGTTTGTTTGTTTTTAGGAACAATTGGATTCTTTGCATGCTTCTGGTTTGTAACCAAAATATACAGCGTGGTGAAAGTTGACTGAAGAAACAAATGTCAAGAATAACACAGAAGAGATTTAATCTTCATTAACGTAACTTAAAGACCTGGTCTGGTTGATGAACTTGAGCTTTATCAGAAGTATTGGCTTCCTGTTCTTTGAGAATGATACTGAATATGCACCTACTTTTTCCACTAACACGTTTGTATTGTGAATTAACAACCTGTTTTCAGTCAGATCTTAATGAGGATCAGAGTTTCAATATTTATGCATTTGTAAATACAACAATACTTCAAAAGAGATGTTAAATTCTAATGGCAGAGTAGAAGTGGCTGCATTACACAACTTAATGATACTTCTGATCAAAGTCTACTTGTAAATAGGTTTTTCTAGCTTGGTAGGTGGGATGAATTATTTTTCTTTGAGGGAAATGAGAACTTTTTATTATGCTGACTTTGAAGGATGACTCTTAAGAAGTGTTGCTTTTAGTTTGGATGTGATTTTTTTATTTTTTACTGGTGTTACGTCCATAAATATTCTGATCTTTGTGACTTCATTAGTTTCGGTGTTCTTGGCCTTTTAAACTATGTGCCTCTGAGTCCTTGAATTTATAAATTCATAATCTAATAAATATTGTAAAAATGTCTTCAGTGGCTTATTACATATTACAAGTTCATAAATATATGTAAATACAATTACATTGAAGACAGTTGCTTAAAGATTGCCTAGAGTATTTTATGGCATTTTCTATGGTTTAATCTATATTGACACCCCCTTAGATGTGCCAGAAACGTTATTTGTGCTACATGGCTCTGACACAGCGATGTGATCGTGGTGCATGAGTGACACTGTACATACCCACGTGTAACAGAACCACTCCGCAGCACTAACCCAGTCCTTCACCCAGGTACGTTCTCAGAGATTGCTGTAGAACTGCCAGTATGTTGAGAAGATCTTGGCGGTGCGTGAGTCAGCTTTCTCTGCTGATCCTGCTTTCAGATCTCGATGATACATACTCTACACGGCAACTGTTGCTGATTGTACTTGATGTAGGTTGAAAAAATAAAAGAAAATTACTATTTTTTGCCTTATACTAAGAGACTAAAGTCGATGACTAGCATTAAACCGATATTTGATTTTTCTGAAGATGGAGTGTTTTGTTCATACCTTGTTCAGTAATGTCAGACTCCTGACACAGTTTGGCTTTTGGCGCATTTTCATGAGCCTGCTGAAACTTTGTTTCAAATTAAACTTCATGTACCAATTGCCATTCGTAAGATTGGGGGGTTTACTTTTAGAAAAGACCTTAACCTAACAATGCTTGAATACTGAACCCAATAAAAGTATCTTTGGTTAAGGTAACTTGTCATTATTAACCTGCTAAAAGTTGGCGTGTAAAAAGGCCTCAGGTGACACTTCCTCAATTGCTGTGCTCCACAACCCCTCCCAGGTGAACCACACTGCTCTTGTGCTCTGCCTGTCCCCAACCACAGCTCTGTTCAGACATTGTGGACAGGTTGGTGCGGGTGCCCCTCCCCATGTGCAATCACTAGGAAATGCTGATTTCAGATAAATCTTCCATGGTTTAGGTTCAAAACAGGAAAAGGGTGAGTGTGGTGTTTGTTCTTTGTTGTTTGTTTGCTCACTAGTGCAGTGAGCTGTAGTGTTGACTCTTGATTTATATTTTTTAAAGTATGAAATTGAATATTCTTAATATCCCTGGTTTTGTGATCGCCTACTGTATGTATAGTCACTGTTCAAAATCATCAGTTATCACACAAATGGGAACGGGAATGCTTACTTTGAGAAACATGCACCAGTTGTCTGTTACTGAAATATGAATATAATAGGTGCTCAAGAATTTCAGTGTAGAGATACAAAATTTACCAGATTTGTGATGTATTTACAAGTAGTGTTTAAAAGTTGGATTAATGGAAGTGAGATGTAGCCGCTGTAGTTACGATATGGGTTTGAAACCAATGGGGGTGTTTCCCATTTTTTTTCCTACAGGCTAGTCATGGCAGCTTCTCAAGAATCTTATTTTCACCTTTAAAGGCAGATTGTGAAGTGTGTCATTCTCTCCTGGAATCTAAACTTCCTGCATACACAATTTTCCAAGCAGCCTTGTAACAATAGCAGCTGTTTTGGAATGGAGATGGTGAGGTTGCAGTGCACAGTACTTGTGACAATCTAGGAAGTTTAATACACCACAGATTTTACAGAAGAGCTGTTCCAAAGTTGTCCCTTCCCTTGGAACCCATTACTGCCTCAGATAATCTTACAATTTTGTCCAGCATTGATAGGCTTCTGGTGTGTGTTAGGGCATTCAAATGTGCTGTTGTGTACCATATTGTTGTTCAGGTATCTTGGGAGGCCTGGGATTTTTGTCTAAGCTTTGGATACACTGGCCTCTTCCAAAATCTTTCTGCCCAATCTCTATAGAGATACATAAATAAGTAGACATATTATCTTTAATTACATATGTATAATTACAAGCAGACATATAAGTAAGTAGACGTATCATGACATATTATCACCATGTTTTTAAATACCAACAGTATTTAAAGGGTGGCTACAAAGAAGATGGAGACTCCCTCTTTACAAGCAGTCACATGGAAAAGACATGGGGTAGTGGGTACAAATTACTCCTGGAGGGATTCCAACTGGATGCAAGAGGACAATTTTTCACAATGAGAACAATCAGCCATTGGAATAATCTCCCCAGGGAAATGGTGAGTTCCCCAGCGCTGAACACTTGTAAGATTTGGTTGGACAGGGTGCTGGGACATCTTGTCTAGGTCATGCTTTTACCTATAAAGGCTGGGCCAGATGATTCTTGAGGTCCCTTCCAACGTGGTGTTTGTGATTCTGTGACAAAATCATAGAATTGTAGAACAGCCCAACATTTCTTTTTTTTTTTTTAAATTGGGTATCACTGCAGTGTTGGGTTTCGTTTTCCTGCTCCAGGAACGTATGAGCTAGAACTTTGATAAGCTTAGCTGGTGTGAGGGACACGTGACCGTGACTTTATGCTGTGAAGTTATATGCCATCCTCTCTGTGTTTCACCAGTCTGGACAACACCTTCATTTCTGGAGCAGCTGTATCTCCAGCTGCCAGAGCACATCACAACAAAGTATTTCCTTCAAGGAAAGAAGATTACTTGTGCAGAGATGTTCTAGTCTTCTCCCAGACTGTTTCCTACAGTTCACCTCTAATTGCATTTTTCGTTCTCAGTATCCTGCTGTTTCTCCTTATGTCAGACAGTTAATAGCAATCCACTTATTTATGTATCTCCATAAATCTGACTCTTCTATTGCTCTTGTGCTGGCTCTGGGTAGATGTGTGTACACATGCGCACGATGCTTCGGGCTAAAGCACAAATCTTAAGGGACTACCGAGAGACTTAATTTATCAGTTGATTATGGTATAGCTGCCATCATGCATTTTCTTCTTACTTGAAACATCTGGATCTCACTGCTGATGAGATGAGAGTAGTTAACTGCTTGCAAATCAGATATGCCCCAAGATTACAAATGAAACCTGTCACGTTTGGGTGATGGCGCATTCCT